CCCATTTGTGCGCGCCGTCCGAAAATTACCGTTCCGGAAAGCCGGCCTCTGGGTTCTCCGGAACGGGGAATGTCGGGGTTTTCGCGCATTCTCGACTTCATATTCGGAATCAGGGACATGAGAAGGCCCTGAAACGACAAAAACCAAGAAGTCGAAAATCTGGGTGGACGGTGCCTTTAAGCCATGTACCCCTCCTACGTTGTACATTGTACCCGGGCAAGCCCCGCCTTCTATTCGTGTATATAAGGAGCCCCCCCCCCGACTGTATTATAGATCGCTCTCAACTAATCTACGCCAGTGTGAATAAATATTCCACACAACTTCGTCTACCCTACTTCACTTGGTACACACCAAATTGGTGCATCGGCCAGTGAACTTCCTTGCAATTCCTGAGCGACTCCTTTACCTAAGGAACGGGAATTCAAGGCCTAAGACCCGCGTGGCAGACACTCCACTAATTAATTGAACTCTTCTGAGCTCTCTCTTCGTGAGACGACCAGGTTAGTAAAAGCGTTACTTTTCAGGCTTCTTCACTGATCAATTGAACCCTTCTGAGCTCTCTCTTCGTGAGACGACCAGGAGGTAGTAAAAGCGTTAACCGAAGAAATTTCACTGGTTAATTGAACCCCTCTGAGCTCTCTCTCTTCGTGAGACGACCAGAAGGTAGTAAAAGCCCCAGCTGAATACTTCTCCACTAATTAATTGAACCCTTCTGATCTCTTCCTGAGACGACCAGAAGGTAGTAAAAGCGTTAGTTGGCAGAAAATCACTGATTAATTGAAACCTTCTGAGCTCTCTTCCCGTAAGACGACCAGAAGTTAGTAAAAGCGCAGCTCAAGAATTATCACTGGTTAATTGAACCTTTCTGAGCTCTCTTCCCGTAAGACGACCAGAAAGTAGTAAAAGCCCCGGTTGAAGAACTTCTCACCATTGATTAATTGAACTCTTCTGAGCTCTCTTTTCGTAAGACGACCAGAAGTTAGTAAAAGCGTCATTTGGTAAGACAAACACCACTGCAAATTGAACATCTCTGTGCTCTCTTTACATAAGACGACCAGAGATCAGTAAAGGACCAGTTGGCAAAAGCTAACAAGTTCAAAGTTCATCCAGAGTTTGAGCTTCAATTGCTATCAATCCTCACGGTACAGGCTCAACACACCTCACCGTCCAGTACAGCGTACAAACCAACCAGGCACGCTTGCTGACAGCTAGTAGAAGCTTGGACTCAATTGCCAGCTCATTAGAAGGCTTCCTTGCACCCAGTAAGGACAGCTATTACAAGAGGCCAGCCTTGCTGTCGTCCTCAATCTAAAGTCTACAACGAGGATACGCATCTCACTTTGCGACGCTCGCCATCAGCACTCAACGGACGCACCGAACACAACTTTGTGTGATACAAAAATGGCAGCGCTCCAAATCTTCAAATCGAAAATCAACAATGCCTGCGCACTTGTGAAGTCATACGAGTCGGAAGTGAATAAAATTGACACACCATTCACTTTTCTGTGGACAAGACTGAATGCGAAACATACATCAAAAGGAAAATGGGAAAAATCACGCATTTGCTCAATTCTCTGCAAAATGCCGTCAAACTTCAAGACACTCAAGTAAATGCTGCAATTGAATATGTCGGCTAACAAAAGAGGAAAAAGAGAGAGAAAAGCTGATGACTGAACTCAGCAAACACCTCGAGTTAGAGTCTCTTCGTCTGGAGGTCATGACAGTACAGTGGCAGAATAGGATCCAGTTCCGACAACATGAACTCAAGGAACAAAGTGCGCTTGTGCACTGCAGTACTCCGAGCATACCGAGTCAGCCAAGTAGTGAAGTTGGACAAGCTGGAACTCCGGAACGCAACGAAAGGCAGATCAAGATTCGGAAGCCCATGCTTGAAATTCCGACGTTTTCAGGCAACTTCCGGGAGTTCAGCAGTTTCTGGACAGTCTTCGAATCACTTATCCACACCGACGAGGAGTTATCCGACACGGACAAATTGTTTCTGAAACAAGCTTTGAAGGGAAAAGCAGCAGCCACTCTGAGCTGCATCCCCCTTGTTGGAGAAAAATATGAGACAGCGATAGAATCGTGAAAAAGCATTTCGATCGCTCAGCCAACATGGCAGACATACTCATAAATGAGATCGAAAAGCTTCTAAGGGCGTCTGATAATCCGAAGAGTTGCCGAGACACCTTTGAAGCAATCAACTCAAGGATTATCCATTTGGAACAAACAGGCATGAAGCTGAACGCAGACTGAGTTTGGCGTCGGATATTTTTCTCCAAATTTCCCGAATCCATTTGTACGACCGCCATCCAAAAAGAAGCGATACAAGATGATCCCTTTGATGTTGGCGAAATTCTAAATGCTATCAATGGCATTATTTCACTGCGGGAAACCACTGCGCTCACAACGGAAACTCTGTTCCCAACCAGTCATCGCCAGGACACTCAACAAAATGGAAGGAGCAACAGAACAAGATGGGGAGAAGAGAATCACTTTTCGAAACCAAAACATCTGGATTGGTAGTAATATGGTCGAAACCAACAAATGATGTGATAGTTTAATCATGGTTACATCGTGGTAAGCATGATCATCTTTTCACGGCCACTCAGTTCAATCGGTCATACAAAATCATGAAACAAGCAAGTAACTAGCAGAAAACCATAACTGTTTCATGCTTGTTTCATTCTAAACCAAACTATGAGTTAAACAGCAAGTTAACACCATTGTTCCCTTATCACATAGAGTAATGAAAACAGCACTTCATTTCATGAGACGCAGACGTGAAACCATCTCATAGTTTAAAATGAAAAAGTACCCCCGACCACTTTTTCGTTTAAAACAATGATGTGTTGGTTTTGCAAGTTAAGAAGAGTGAGGGAGATCATTCTGCAACTTACTTTGAGAAAGCTTACTTGTTTACAGCTTAGATAAGGTTATAGGAAGGTGCAAGGCTGGAGATCGAACTGCGAATTTGGTAAAGTGCAATGATTGCCGACAAGCATGAGAATGGTTGGAGTTTCGATCTTCTCCAATGACTTTGCTTTGCAAGATAGCATTTCGAGGTTTCCTATTGGTTAATTCGTGGTTTCGTTGGGAAAATGATGTGAAGCTGCTGGTTAGCTGGTGTCATGAAAACACAGTTAACATAATGGTTTCGACCAAATTACTACCACTCCTGTGTTTATATGGGCAGTCGCATTCGCCCCATACCTGCCAAAGATACACCACCCCGGAAGCACGACGCTTAGAAGCAAGAAACCAAAGAGTATGCTGGAGGTGTTTTGCTAAGAATCACACTTCGAAGGACTGCACAATTATTGGAGTGTGCCCTAGATGCAAAAACTCACACCATGGATCTCTCTGCTTTTCAGATGCAAAAAAGCAAGACAGCGGGTATCTTGCCGTCTCACGTCGACCTGAAAATATGGATCGGCAATCAACGCTACCAAATCGACCAACGCAACCCTCCAGTCAACGCAACCGATCTAAGACGAACAAAGTACGAGCAGCACAAAACTCACAAAATGGGCGAAATCTCTGTTGTAGACAAAGCCCCACTCCTTCACAGCCAGTGCGTACTTCAAATTGCAACAGCGATGATTTTCAATGAAGAACAATGGGACTATCAACCAATAACAATAATTCTGGACTCAGGAGCGCAAAGAAGTTTCATCAAGTCGAACCTTAGCGAAACATTCAAGCTTCCAATCGTCCGAACAACGTCGTTCACCACATCCGGAATGGGTGAACTGCAAGAAGTTTTCAACTCAAATGAGGTTTTGATCACCTTGAAGAGCTTACGAGGACCTAAAAAATTGAAGAAGATGTCTGTACATACCAAGCAAAAGCTCACGACCAACCTGGATACAGCACATCTCATTGAGGCGGACCTCCTGTACATTTCAAAGGAGAAATTGGACATAGCACAGCAAACGCTTGCAAGAACCAGCGTCTCGCCTGATATCCTTATTGGCCAGGACATACTTAATACTGTCACCATACTGCTCCAGTACTGACACTTCCTTCGGGACTAACTCTCACTCCGTTTTCGGATACACAATATCCGGAACAAGCCTGGTTTCGACAACAGCAAGCACAACTGAAGTTTATGGAAGCTCGCTTGTGGTAGCAACCCCAGCAGTCTCACCAAGAGAAAACTACAAGCAGAACATCAAACACCTCTATGAGCTTGAGTCGCTGGGACTAAAAACCGAAAACGATCCCGACGAAGCATCTATAATCAAATTCATGGATGACTACAGAAAAACTATCAGCATCAGAGAAAGCACAATCACAGCACGATTCCCCTTCAATGAAAACGTTGGCAAACTCAAGGACAACTTCAACATTGCCTTTCGCCGCTGCAGGCTCTCCTTCGGACACTACGAAGCGACAACAAAAAGCTTCAGCTCTACAACAATACCATTGAAGACTACATAAAAAAAGGAATCATCGAGGAATGTACTCTACAACCAGCGGGAGTAACATCCTTCTACCTTCCACATCGACACGTATGGACACCTGGAAAGACAACCGAACTTCGAATTGTCTTCGATGCTTCATCTCACGGAAGAAACGAGCTCAGCATCAACGACGTCGTCTTTGAGGGACATGCTCTCACGCCTCTCATCCATGAAATTCTACTGCTCTTTCGGACATACAAGCATACAATGGTAGCGGACATCCAAAAGGCTTTTCTACAAATACGCCTTCCCGAAAACCATCGAGATGCAACAAGATTTTTGTGGATAAAGGACCTCAATATGCCGGCCGAAGGCAAAAACGTCAAATACTACCGCTGTCGGGTTCTCTTTGGAATAAACGCAAGCCCAGCTATATTGAATCAGTCCATACTCAAGCACATTGAAGAGCAGGATACTCCGATTACAAAGGAACTATCTAAGTCTCTCTACGTTGACAATGTGTTGTTAGAAGGCAACCCGCAAGAGCTTATAGAGAAATACATTGCTTCAAAAGAGCTCTTCTCTTCTATCGGAATGAACCTCCGCGACTACTTGTCAGATTCTGCCGAAATAAACGCACAAATCAAAGACCTGGATAGAGCAAAAAGCTGCGAACTCAAAGTGCTCGGAATCAAGTGGAAAGCTGACGATGACACCCTAATCATGGAATGTGCAGACAAAGAACAAATCAAAGTCACTAAAAGATCTGTGCTCAGCCAAATAAACGGATTCTGTTTCGACCCACTTGGACTGCTCACTCCCTTGATGATACCGGCAAAGATATTCCTGCAGGATGTACACAAGCAAAAACTAGGATGGGACACAATTCTCCCTGAAGAACATATCCAGAGATGGAAAGCAATCAAGGAAGATATCGCCGGATTCAAGAAAGCCATACCACGCACAGTGCTGAAGAAGACACCCGAGGCCAAATATATGCTTTCCGTATTCGTTGATAGTTCCAAACGAGCTTACGCCTGCTGTCTTTATACGACTACATCAACGAAGAATGGTACGAAGAACACATCACTCTTCACGGCTAAAGCGAAAGTCGCGCCTATCAAGAAGGAACAAACTATCCCGAGATTGGAACTACTGTCAATATTTCTCGGGCTGTCTGTAGCCGAAACAACCATGTCAAAATGCGGAATAAACTTCACAGAAGTCAACCTATTCAGCGACTCAACAATCGCACTATTATGGATAGCTAGCAGCAGAAAGCTGCCACCAATTGTAACCACACTGGTTCAGAAAATCAGATTCGCCGCAGAAAGGATCAGAGAAACAGCCAAATTCAATTTCTTCCACGTCCCAACGGAAGAAAATGCAGCGGACTGCGCAACTAGAGGAATCAACAAGCAAGACTTCACTGCTAGCAGGTGGTGGAAAGGACCAAATTGGCTCAATTACCCTAATGAGGAATGGCCAGTACGTCCCATCAGTGACGTTAAAGACAGTGATGCTGACGAATGCGAAATGCTCACTCATCAAACTACAGAAGATCCTAACAAATGCGATCCTAATTGGCCAATTGCTATGATAAGCAGCTACCCTAAATTGAAGAGGATAGTGGCATACTGTCTACGTTTCATCCGCATGGCAAGCAAAAACACCCGCTTCAAGATCGCAGATGAAGATCAAATGGCAAGCCGCTTGCCAAATGCAGCTGAAGTTATCCTTGCTGAAAAGCAAATCGTCTTGCAAGAGCAACGGATTCACGGCACAGCTCTCGTCTCTAAAAACAAACAGTTCAAGACTGTGTACGACAACGATGGAATTCTACGAAAGTGTGGACGCACACAACGTGCTGAAATCCAGATCGCCGAGCACATCCACCAAAACCTGGCACACTGCGGAAACCACCAGCTTTTATGCGAGCTTCGACAACGATTCTGGATACCGAGAGACAGAGTGCTGTACTACTTATTTATTTATTTATTTACTTGCAAGAAATTCAATTCGTCACCCTTCACGTATCCAGATATGGGCCCTCTTCCGAAAGAAAGAGTGACTCAAGCCAAGCCATTTGCTTACACCGGAGTAGACTATATGGGACCGCTACTGATCAAGGCGCCGAATGGACAAGATGAGAAGCGCTACGTAGCACTATACACATGCCTAGTCACTCGGCTGATACATCTGGAAGTGGCTACAGACCTCTCCGCAAAAAGCTTTCTTCTCACATTCAAGAGATTCATCGCACGACGAGGAGTATCAGAAAAGATCATTAGCGAGAATGGAACCAACTTCCGCCTCAGCGAACTGATACTCAGCAACAACGTCAATAATGATGATTCCGACCATTTATCACTCTTTCTCGCCGAACACCGCATCAGCTGGTACTTCGTCCCTCCAGCTTCACCATGGATGGGAGGAGTTTGGGAAAGAATGGTGGACTAGTGAAAAGAGCAATGCAGAAGACTATCGGACGACGGAAATTGACAGACGAACTTCTTCAAACGTCGTTATGTGAAATCGAAAGCATCGTCAACTCAAGACCATTGACTCACATAGGCGAAGACGACCCTTCTTTCCAAGTCTTGAGACCAGTGGACTTCATCTATAAGGACATTCGGCTTGGAAGCCCTCAACTTACACTCGCCGACGAGATGTACAGGATCCAGATTACCGGATAAGTCCAGAACTCTCATCACAAAAGGAAGCCAAAACAGCTCTTTTGGAGACCGAGAAGATAACGAAAAAGTTCTGGAGTATTTGGAAACACGACTACCTCCTTGAACTTCGCGACCGTCACCATGTTTTTAAGAATAGAAGAACCACAAATCGCAAACCAGAAGTTGGAGACGTTACTGCTTGACGAAGATTCACAATTGAAAAGAGGATACTGGCCCATGGCTGTTATAACACAACTCGTACCAAGCAAAGATGTAGAAATCAGAAGCGCAATCCTGAGAACCACATCTGGAAGAGAGATTCAAGACCTCTCAATCGCATAGTCCCCTTAGAAATTCGTTCAACGATAGAACACGAAGAAGAGAGACAGGATCCAATGCCACAAAAAGGAAGAATAATGGCCAAGGTTAAAAAAGCGCTCAGGAAGAAGCCGACAACTGCACATGAACCTCGCAAGCAACCACAGAGAGCTGCGAAAAAGCCTGTAGACTACGCAACTTCTAATTCCTCCACTATAAAGAGAAGCGCTTCACAAATTAGCAAGTCAGTGATAATAACAATGTGCCTGACAGCTCTTCTTCTCATTGACACGGCATCCGCAAATGTACTATCCTGCTCTGAACATGGAGTAAAAATTAACACGACTTCGGAATCACAATCACAACTATGTCTCAACTACAAGGATTGTCTGAAAATCTCGACGAAGAAAGAAATAAACGAAATAGCACTCCCACCAAAGTACCGCACAACAGAACATCGAGTTCAATGGCGCACAATGATCGGAGCAACACAGTACTCCGACACCATTATTTGCCCACCAAGAGACATTTGCGACATGATCAAATGCATAGTCTGTGCAGACTTGCTTCGGAATCCACACTGCGCCCCCAACACGGCGATAGCAATCACAGCACTTTGCGCATACCTTATGATGCTGCTCATCTGGCTCACTTGTTGCACTGGACTTCGAGGAAAACAGCTTCTGTGCCGAACTAACGAGAACGACATGCGAACGGAAAATCACGTTGCTTCTGCGAATGATCGACTCTCCAAGCTGCTAGGAAGGGAATCCCGATCCCCACCAATCCAATCGAAGATGGTCACGTTTGTGGCTATTGCAACATGTCGCATCACGAGTCACTTCATGCCAATACACTCACACACTCACGTCAAGGAACACCGTCTGCGCAAGAACCAACAACACACTCAACTGTCGCTACACTATCGAAAACAGAATAACTCTGAGTGAGCACCGACCTCAAGCCTGCTTCAGGATTCAACATGATAACAAGACAGTTGGCAGCATGGAGATACAACTTCAACACGTCGTACTCCAGTGCAATCCCGTAGTCTTGTTTTACACCAGAGATGCCGAGATAGTGACCGAGTCAGTAAAACGATGCCATTTCTCTGGAACATGCTCATTTAACACATGTGCTCACATAAGTCAGCGATCCTACATACCAGAACTTCACAACACCTACGAATTTCCTGGATACTCAAGGTGCACTTCGTCATGTGGAAGCATCGGATGTGGTTGCCTTCTACCTCTACCTGGATGTCTCTCCTCCCGCTCATATGGGAAACCGCAAAGTGAAACAATTTACCAAGTGTTCCACTGTCCAACTTGGGAAGAATCAGCAATCATCAAATACACTTATACAAGTTTGACTGGACGAAGAGAAACGAACACTGCAACAATTACTGCGCAGACCACTCATACTCAAAAGGACGCTAATTTAACATTGGAATTCGTGACAACGCCAACGATTCCGCTGCTCAGCTCTGTGTTTCTACAAGCAGTCAACACCACCAAAGCGGAGACTGCTTTGGTCGACGATGACGATGTATTTGCTCTCAGATGTCCAACGATGGAAAGCTCGCAAAACCTCCCCCTTTGCCATGTAGAAGACACTTGCAAGTGCTACCCGACTGATGACCAAACTAACTGTATCTGCAAGAACACGAACATATCGGATTTGACGACATCGATGGATAGCAGACTGCCACTCTCTTCCTCATTCTTACATCTACAAGAAGCCCATGGAAGAGTACTTGGAGTCAGCCACAAATCCATAGTCGACGTCACTATCAGCACGACTGCGGAATGGAATAAAGCGAGTGTTGTCAACAATGAAGACTGCGACATCACAGCTTCACCGATTCAAGGATGCTACAGCTGCATGACCGGTGCACGACTTACCTTCTCTTGTCAGACACCGCACCCAACAATGGTGGAGATAACGTGCACGCAGAATACCTATGCTGCTTTCTGCAATGAAAACACAGTGCAGACAGTTGGCTCTACTTCAATCGACCGTCGCTAACTATGTCGACAGATGTTCACTGAGATGCGGAACGAAAAGCCACGTATTCAACATCTCTAGTATCCTGGCATACCACCCACGCGAAAACGGAGTAATCTTCACAAATGCTAGCGAGGAAGCTTCGTACGTCAACGTCTACAACTACCCCGACATTGGACACATCATCAGCGTCGCCCTCTCGTCATGGAAGATGCTCGTCGTGGCTACCATCGCAATCACAGCCGCGTTAGCCTTTACCATTTTTTGTGTCCCAAAAATCATATAAAATTGTCATTATTGTGCGTGTAACTTTTCGTAAATTTAATATACGATTTAATTCATCCTATCACCAATGCTTGTTATTATAACATTACGTGTATTTTTATCAACTTCATCTGATTTTACTCATTTCTTTTCCTAGTCGCCCGGAGTGCTGATGATTTCTATATCATCAACCCAATCCATTCCATTTTCCACATCGCCTATGGAGTGCCCATAGGCTAAATTGTACGCCACTCATTCTTGAGTATCTAATCACTCAAGAGTGATTGACACCTGTGCACCAGGAGTGTAGCCGAACGGCGGCAACTCCTTTGTGCCTGAACCCTTAGGTGAATATCAAAGCAGATTCGTGGCTAGAGCTCAGATCTATTTAATTACTTCCAGTACAGCAGGATAGATTCCTTAAGCGAAATGAACACAAAATTGGTGACCACAGTGTCTTGCAGTCACCTAATTCTACGAAGCAGGCGATCCTTACATTTTGGGCAAAACTCATGAGGACGTGATTTCGTAGGCCCCTAACCCGGCGATTGCTGCAGATTGAAGCCGGATGCATGCACCTTTAAATAGCACGCCTTCTAGTGATAACCTGCAAAGGCAAGCAAGTACAGAATTTCTAAGAGGTGCTCGAAAAATGCAGGCGAATCTACGATCTTGCATAGCTTAGCTAATCCCTCACCATATCTCTGCTAGAAAACTCTGTACTCCGCGCAAAAGACGATTATCGTAAACAGCGTGTTCGAAAACCTCTTTGAGCAAAGTTTCCTTACAATCTGAGATCATCGACATTTTGACCAAAACCCATCGGCGAGCCTCAGGGCATAGAACGAGAAAAATCAGATCACCCGAATTTCTTTGAAAACTTGCTCATAAAGGTTATCTGACCTGCTGATTACGAATATCACATCTGCTTAGCAGTAGAGCTTCTCATTTTCGGGTCACGGTGGGCAAAACTTGAGACAACGCGATTTTTCCAGAATTCACCAGCTCTCCTATCTTTTTTCAAGAAGATTCTCCAGTTACTTTTTAGCGCTCGATAATCTGCGAAAGCAGCACAATTCAGCAGTGCTTATTGGAGTCTTTTATGTTTGATGTGCGCTGCTCTGCGACCTTGCGAATATACGCGCGCAGAAAATTTTGAAAAAATTGGAAACGGAATTTCAAGGGCATGCTGTATACAGTGAGATTCGACTTGACGAGATGAGCACAATGCTGTTTTCGGATTTCGAAGGTGTTCATTCTGAAGGAAGTTACGGCTAGTAGAACTTGGAACAGCTTGATTTTTCCGGAGTTTATCAGCTCTTCTATCTCTTTTAAAAGAGAGTCTTCGGCTGCTGTTTAGCGCGCGATAATCTAGTGAAAGAGTACTATCGGAAGGTGCCCATGGCAGTCTCCTATGTATGATGCTTGTTGCGTTACACCCATGCGAAGAGGCGTCCGCGTGCAAATTCAAGATTATTGAAAACAAGGTATTGGACACGCCCTGTACACCAAAAGATTCACCTTGACGAGCTGAGTACAATGCTGTTTTCGGATTTCGAATATATTCATTCGGAAAGAAGTTATTGCCCTTCGTAATTTGCGTGATTGACATGAATTGCGCGAAATTTCCAGAATTTCGCGAAATTCCCGAAATTTCGCGAACCTTCGCGGAATTTCTGGAATTCTGCGAAATTCACGGAAATTTTGCACATTCTGTGAGCGGTATTGTAATGTACTCATAATCAGCAGGCTCGATTACCTCCCTGTGCCAATCCCACTGTACTGAATATGGTGTTTCGACGTGCTTCAGCTGCTTACTTGAACATCAAAGCAGTTTCTCAGCTAGAGCTCAGATCTAACTATCAAAGCCAACAGAAAAAGGTTCATTAAGCGAATTGAACTGATGTGACCAGCGTGTTATATATCCACTCAAGGCGGAATTTCCGAAGTACGCGATCTTTACATTTTGTGCAAAATTCATGAGAATGTGTTTTCGTAGGCTCGTAATTGGACGATTTTTACAGAATGGAGTCTGAGGATGCACCATTCGATGGCACGTTTCTAGTAACTTTAACCCTCATAAACAAGCAGGCAAGTTTTCTGACAGGTAAGCGAGAGGTGCAGGCGAAGTTATGAGCTTTCGTAACTCCGCTACAGTTACCTCACCATATCTCTGCAAAAAGACCCTATACATGACAGAGAACACGATTTTCATAAAGGGGGCGTTCGAAAACCTCTATAAGCGAAGTTTCCTTACAATTCAAGATCATCAACATTTTGACCAATCCATCGGGATCAGAGCGTGGAACGAGAAAAAACGTAATGACGCGAACATCTCGGAAAACTTGCTCATAGAGGTTATCCGACCTGCTGATTGATAATCACATCTGCTTAGCAAGAGAGCTTCACATTACCGAGTTATGGTGAGAAAAATTTAGAACGACATGATTTTGCCAGAATTCACCAGCCCCACTATTCCCTTTGAAAAGAAATCTGCGGCTGCTGTTTAGTGCATCATAGTCTACAGGAAAAGTACTATCGAAAGATCCTTGCTGGAACTTACTCGGGACAATGCTCGCTGCTTTACACCTTTTGCGAAGAGACGTCTGCAGAAAGACTTAAGAATACAATACCGCTCACAGAATGTGCAAAATTTCCGTAAATGTCGCAGAATTCCGAGAATTTCGCGAAGGTTCGCGAAATTCCGGGATTTTTGCGACATTCTCGGAATTTCGCGACATTCCCGAAATTTC